ACAGCATTACACAGGTGAAACCAAAAGGTAGAAAAAAAACAGTACACCACAACACTTTTAAAACGTGTTACTGAGTCTAGACGTTATCAAATCAGGAGAAGAACAAGTGAAGGAAGAAGCATAGGGAAAGTGGGTGAAGGTAGGGTGGGCTTATATAGATAAGATTGAGAGTTCCAGAGTTGAGGGACCATGGGGCATAGTGTGGAATAAGGGGTAGCTAGAGGGTTGGCCCTAGAATAAACACAACATTGGGTGCTGGTGTGCTTCTGTACACCTTTTAAGTCGTCACAAATATCCTGCCCATGTCCAGCACAGGAGGTTGGTGGCACCTTAATTGGGGAGGACGGGCTTGAGTTAATGGCTGGAGCGGAATGGTATCAAATACATCAAACACATGGTTTCCATGTTTTTGATGTCATTCCATTCGCTCCAGTCCAGCCATTATTATGAACAGTCCTTCCTTCAGCATCTTCCACTGATGTCCAGTCATACTCGGAGTCTCATGCTGCGTTCAAAACAACTGGGAACTTGGAAATCTCAGACTTCTGTGCGTTCAAGACAAATAAAAAATACAAATAAAACTGCTCCGACTGGGAAAAATTTGGCATCTTTCTAGAGCTCTGACTTTCTGACCTGAAGATCACTGACGTCATGATTTGACCTGCCTTGGAAGCACCATCAGTGCTTGTCCCTTGAAGCCTCATCATTCCGCCTCAGTTGCAGCATTCAAATCGTGGTCATCGTGTGTCTGTGAATCACAACATTAAAGACGATGAGTGATCACAGCATTTCCACAAATTGAGTCGTACACAATACACCATAAGCGTTGAGGATAGCATTTTGTTGACAACATGGTGGTTTACACCATGTCTATCTACTGTGTGTGAATGATGGAAGAATCTTACCCAAGCTGTCTGTCCATTTGAGTGTGTGGTCACTTAGGTCTGCACATCAACGGATTTCAGCACCCAAAGAATATCTTGCATTTACACAGGACAAACATAGGTAAGGTGCCTTCGGAGAGTATTCCGACCCCTGACTTCTTTTATATTTTGTTATGTTACAGCCTTATTCTAAAACTGATTAAATTGTTTTTTCCCCTCATCAATATACACACAATACCCCATAACGACAAAGCAAAAACAGGTTTGGAAACGGAAATATCACATTTACGTAAGTATTCAGACACTACTTATTACTTTGTTGAAGCACCTTTGGCAGCGATTACAGCCTCGAGTCTTCTTGGGTATGACGCTACAAGCTTGGCACACCTGTATTTGGGGAGTTTCTCCCATTCTTCTCTGCAGATCCTCTCAAGCTCTGTCAGGTTGGATCGGGAGCATTGCTGCACAGCTATTTTCAGGTCTCTCCAGAGATGTTTGATCGGGTTCAAGTCCGGGCTCTGGCTGGGCCACTCTAGGACATTCAGAGACTTGTCCCGAAGCCACTCCTGCGTTGGCTTGGCTGTGTGCTTAGGGTCGTTGTCCTGTTGGAAGGTGAACCTTTGCCCCAGTCTGAGGTCCTGAACGCTCTGGTGCATGTTTTCATCAAGGATCTCTCTGTACTTTGCTCCGTTCATCTTTCCCTCGATCCTGACTAGTCTCCATGTCCCTGCTGCTGAAAAACATCCCCACAGCATGATGCTGCCACCCCCATGCTTCACCGTAGGGATGGTGCCCGGTTTCCTCCAGACGTGAAGCTTGGCATCCAGGCCAAAGAGTTCAACATTGGTTTCATCAGACCAGAGAATCTTGTTTCTCATGGTCTGAGAGTCCTTTAGGGGCCTTTTGGCAAACTCCAAGTGGGCGGTCATATGCCTTTTACTGAGGAGTGGCTTCCGTCTGGCCATTCTACCATGAAGGCCTGATTGGTGGAGTGCTGCAGAGATGGTTGTCCTTCTGGAAGGTTCTCCCATCTCCACAGAGGACCTCTGGAGCTCTATCAGTGACCAGCGGGTTCTTGATCACCTCCCTGACCAAGGCCCTTCTCCCCCGATTGTTCAGTTTGGGTGGGCGGCCAGCTCTAGGAAGAATCTTGATGCTTCCAAACTACTTCCATTGAAGAATGATGGAGGTCACTGTGTTCTTGGGGACCATCAGTGGTGCAGAAATGTTTTGGTACCCTTCCCCAGATCTGTGCCTCAACACAATCCCGTCTCGGCGCTGTAGCAACAATTCCTTCGACCTCATGGCTTGGTTTTTGCTCTGACATACACTGTCAACTGTGCGACCTTATATACAGTGGGGAAAAAAGTATTTAGTCAGCCACCAATTGTGCAAGTTCTCCCACTTAAAAAGATGAGAGAGGCCTGTAATTTTCATCATAGGTACACGTCAACTATGACAGACAAAATGAGGAAAAAAAATCCAGAAAATCACATTGTAGGATTTTTTAATGAATTTATTTGCAAATTATGGTGGAAAATAAGTATTTGGTCAATAACAAAAGTTTCTCAATACTTTGTTATATACCCTTTGTTGGCAATGACACAGGTCAAACGTTTTCTGTAAGTCTTCACAAGGTTTTCACAAACTGTTGCTGGTATTTTGGCCCATTCCTCCACGCAGATCTCCTCTAGAGCAGTGATGTTTTGGGGCTGTCGCTGGGCAACACGGACTTTCAACTCCCTCCAAAGATTTTGTATGGGGTTGAGATCTGGAGACTGGCTAGGCCACTCCAGGACCTTGAAATGCTTCTTACGAAGCCACTCCTTCGTTGCCTGGGCGGTGTGTTTGGGATCATTGTCATGCTGAAAGACCCAGACACGTTTTATCTTCAATGCCCTTGCTGATGGAAGGAGGTTTTCACTCAAAATCTCACGATACATGGCCCCATTCATTCTTTCCTTTACACGGATCAGTCGTCCTGGTCCCTTTGCAGAAAAACAGCCCCAAAGCATGATGTTTCCACCCCCAAGCTTCACAGTAGGTATGGTGTTCTTTGGATGCAACTCAGCATTCTTTGTCCTCCAAACACGACGAGTTGAGTTTTTACCAAAAAGTTATATTTTGGTTTCATCTGACCATATGACATTCTCCCAATCCTCTTCTGGATCATCCAAATGTACTCTAGCAAACTTCAGACGGGCCTGGACATGTACTGGCTTAAGCAGGGGGACACGTCTGGCACTGCAGGATTTGAGTCCCTGGCGGCGTAGTGTGTTACTGATGGTAGGCTTTGTTACTTTGGTCCCAGCTCTCTGCAGGTCATTCACTAGGTCCCCCGTGTGGTTCTGGGATTTTTGCTCACCGTTCTTGTGATAATTTTGACCCCACAGGGTGAGATCTTGCGTGGAGCCCCAGATCGAGGGAGATTATCAGTGGTCTTGTATGTCTTCCATTTCCTAATAATTGCTCCCACAGTTGATTTCTTCAAACCAAGCTGCTTACCTATTGCAGATTCAGTCTTCCCAGCCTGGTGCAGGTCTACAATTTTATTTCTGGTGTCCTTTGACAGCTCTTTGGTCTTGGCCATAGTGGAGTTTGGAGTGTGACTGTTTGAGGTTGTGGACAGGTGTCTTTTATACTGATAACAAGTTCAAACAGGTGCCATTAATACAGGTAACGAGTGGAGGACAGAGGAGCCTCTTAAAGAACAAGTTACAGGTCTGTGAGAGCCAGAAATCTTGCTTGTTTGTAGGTGACCAAATACTTATTTTCCACCATCATTTGCAAATAAATTCATAAAAAATCCTACAATGTGATTTTCTGGAAAAAAAATCTCAATTTGTCTGTCATAGTTGACGTGTACCTATGATGAAAATTACAGGCCTCTCTCATCTTTTTAAGTGGGAGAACTTGCACAATTGGTGGCTGACTAAATACTTTTTTCCCCCACTGTAGACAGGTGAGTGCCTTTCCAAATCATGTCCAATCAATTGAATTTACCACAGGTGGACTCCAATCAAGTTGTAGAAACAACTCAAGGATTATCAATGGAAACAGGATGCACCTGAGCTCAATTTCGAGTCTCATAGCAAAAGGTCTGAATACTTATGTAAATTAGGTATTTCTGTTTTTTATTTTTATATACATTTGCAAAAATTTCAACAACAAAAAACTGTTTTCGCTTTGTTATTATGGGGTATTGTGTGTAGATTGGTGAGGATGTTTTATTTATTTAATCCATTTTAGAATAAGGCTGTAACATAACAAAATATGGGAAAAGTGAAGGCGTCGGAATACTTTCCGAAGGCACTGTACATGGAAAGCATTAATGGACATTTTTACATATATTGACTGACAGCGACTCGATGTAGTCGGCCCACACTCGTTGCCACTCAACTCTGTTGTATATTTAAGCAATAAGGCCCAAGGGGGTGTGGTATATGGCCAACATACCAAGGCGGAGTGCTTGGATACAGCCCTTAGCTGTGGTATATTGGCAGTATGAAAAATGTATGCACTCACTAACTGGAAGTCGCTCTGGATAAGTGTCTGCTAAATGACTAAAAAATGTAAAAATGTAAATTATACCACAAACCTCCAAGGTGCCTTATTGCTATTATAAACTGGTTACCAAAGTAATTAGAAGAGTAAAAATACATGTTTTGTCATACCTGTGGTATACCACAGCTTTCAGCCAAACAGCATTCATGGCTCGAACCACCCAATTTATAATGTGGAGTTGAGTAAACTCAGCTAATATTTAATAAGCCTTTGCACCAGATGAAAGACAATAGATTTACATATTGTTTGCACCTGTAGCAGTCTTTGGCTAGGTCCCGGTACTCACGAGTCCTATTGGCTTCCTCTCTTTGCCTCCTCTTCTTTATGACTACTCATGTTATGACTAGTTCTTTGTGGTCAGTAGTCATGAAGTTGTGGAGACAGAGACAAGGAAAGGAAGCCAATGAAGAGCATTGGGAAAAAATAAATCTGTGGTCTCTGATAATGTCATAAATGTGCCTAGTCCACTCCCTATATTTACCAAAGATTTGTCCAAAAAATAAGACCTGAGCCTAAAGTGGTTTGAACTTTTTCCAATTTTAAATTGTAATGACGTTTAAGGCTCAACCCAAGATGGTGCTCAAAAATATAATTAATTAGACCATGTGCATTATTGTGCTTACTGAAATGCAGTACTTACCAGTTGCCAGTACTCATGCAGACTGGTTTCTCAGTGTGGCCTTTTACTTGAACATCTAGCTTACCTGTAACAAACAGCTACTTCCAGGTTAAGAACTCAGACAGGACACCCTTCACAAGGATTACTGTTTATTTTTTGTTAAACTGTTCTTCGACTAAGAGTCCTCAGTAGACATTTTCACTACTTCCACCCATAATGTTTTGGCAGAGGACCATAGAATGCGTCACGTGCTACAGTGCCCTCCACAACTCTGAACATCCATTTGCCAATTCTACATCTCATTTCGATTGGCTTTGACAAAAATGTATGAACACAACTGCAGCTCTTCTTAGTTCTAACCCTCTGTTCAACCTAAGGAAATGCAAACATGGTTATTCTAATCTAAACCACCTGACCTTTGTGATAACCTCATTGGTTCATGAGAGGAGACAGATCAGGTGGTTTGAAGCCCAAAAAGAAAAAGTCAGACAGCAGCCACTGACTGAAGCTCTCCAGGACCAGGGTTACATGTCAGAGACCTGCTCTACAAACATTTCAATAAGTGCTGAAATAATATACCTCATTTTTGGAGAACCTTAAAAAGGCATCAATCTCTACGGGGAGGACGGAGAAAGAGGAGTGAGTTCCATGCTTCAGAACAAGGCAAACTTCAATGCCTTGGACTGAAGCAAAGAATATAAGAGAAAGCAAACAGACACGCTGCATTTGGAAAGTATTCAGACCCCTGGACCTTTTCCACCTTTTGTTACATTAGTCTTATTCTAAAATGGATTAAATTGTTTTGTTTTTTCTCAGTCTATATACAATACCCCATAATGAAAAGCAAAAACAGGTTTGAAATGTTTGCAACTGTATTAAATATCACAGAAATATCACATTTACATAGGTATTCAGACCCTTTACTCAGTACTTTGTTGAAACACCTTCGGCAGCGATTACAGCCTCAAGTCTTCTTGGGATAACGCTGCAAACTTGGCACACCTGTATTTGGGGAGTCTCTCTCATTCTTCTCTGCAGATCCTCTCAAGCTCTGTCAGGTTGGATGGGGAGCATCGCTGCACAGCTATTTTCAGGTCTCTCCAAAAATGTTCGATCAGGTTCAAGTCCAGCCTCTGGCTGGGCCACTCAAGGACATTGAGACTTGTCCCGAAGCCACTCCTGCGTTGGCTTGGCTGTGTGCTTAGGGTCGTTGTCCTGTTGGAAGGTGAACCTTCACCCCAGTCTGAGGTCCTGAACGCTCTGGAGCAGGTTTTCATCAAGGATCTCTCTGTACTTTGCTCCGTTCATCTTTCCCTCAAGCCTGACTAGTCTCCAAGTCCCTGCCGCTGAAAAACCTTGCCGCTTGTTTCTCATGGTCTGAGAGTCCTTTAGGGGCCTTTCGGCAAACTCCAAGTGGGCTGTCATATGCCTTTTACTGAGGAGTAGCTTCCATCTGGCCATTCTACCATAAAGGCCTGATTGGTGGAGTGCTGCAGAGATGGTTGTACTTCTGAAAGGTTCTCCCATCTCCACAGAGGACCTCTGGAGCTCTATCAGTGACCAGCGGGTTCTTGATCACCTCCCTGACCAAGGCCCTTCTCCCCCGATTGTTCAGTTTGGCTGGGCGGCCAGCTCTAGGAAGATCCTTGGTGGTTCCAAACTTCTTCCATTTAAGAATGATGGAGGTCACTGTGTTCTTGGGGACCATCAGTGGTGCAGAAATGTTTTGGTACCCTTCCCCAGATCTGTGCCTCGACACAATCCCATCTCGGAGCTGTACCAACAATTCCTTCGACCTCATGGCTTCGTTTTTGCTCTGACATGCACTGTCAACTGTGGGACCTTATATAGACAGGTGAGTGCCTTTCCAAATCATGTCCAATCAATTGAATTTACCACAGGTGGACTCCAATCAAGTTGTAGAAACATCAAGGATGATCAATGGAAACAGGATGCACATAAGCTCAATTTCGAGTCTCATAGCAAAGGGTCAGCATACTTACGTAAATAAGGTATTTATTTGTAAAAAGAAATCTAAAAACGTGTTTTCGCTTTGTCATTATGGGGTATTGTGTGTAGATTGATAAAGAAAACAAATGTTGTTATCCATTTTAGAATAAGGCTGTAACGTAACAAAATGTGGAAAAAGTCAACAGGTCTGAATACTTTCCGAATGCACTGTATGTAATCAAAAATGGACAGCAGTATGACAGACCGTACTTACTGTGGTCAATTACAGGCATTAAGTACAGAAGGGTCATTTTTGGGACGCTGTAGCTAATGTCTTTGCAGCTGTAACAATGTCAGTCTACTTCCCCTCTGTCCCACCTCTACACAATGATGTAAGTACATGAACACTGGTGGAGAAACAGCCCTCAAAGTAAAACAAAAATGACAAAACTCAGGACCGAATCCTCAGAATGCTTAAAAAAAAGTCATCTACCAAAGGAATGACTTCAGATTAGAAAAGAGGACCTTTAATAATGGTTTGCCAATGTTAATAATCAAATAAAAAAGGGTGAGCAAGTCAAACAGTGGATATGAAGGACAGTCGGTGTAATCTTCTGACAAACTACAACTCAGCACTACATTATTGAACTGGGATGGTTGGTTGCCCTTTAAGTGGTGAGATCCAGAAGGCAGGCAACAGCCCATGAGACGACAAGCAGGTTTCTCTCCAGAGGACGAAGCAGTTTCTCTTTACAGTAAGGCCACTTTTAAATAGTAATTCTGAATGAGGACCATAACTTCTCTCCCGTGTCCACAGATCTTTGCAGGAAGTCCCTTTCTTGAGGAAAACAAAGTTTCTAAGTGAAAGAGCCTGGTGGTTCACTCTTTTGCAGGGCTGGTGTTTGCCCCACTCACCACCAATAACAGCAAAGGCCCGCTCAACTCAGGTAGTCGCCGCTCACTTGCCCAAACCATAACTCCAACACACCCCAACAATTACAAACCATGTGCAGTTCGGGATATAACAATCTAGCAAAAAATATATCCATTCTAAACACTCCGTAAATTCATCTTGCCCAATTTTTTGTCTTCTTCGATCCTCTGTGGCTTTATCAAAGAAAGTTGAAGTTCAGAGAGAAGTTGTACAATACAACTGCTGCTCTGAATACAATCCACAAAAGACAACCTAACGTTGCCTTTGCTGTTGTTGCTGCTGTCATATAGACTTTATATTTGTTTTGTTTCAGTTGATCCCTGTTGCCACAGCCCTTTTGGATGTAGTCCTTCAGTTTTGCCAACCAGGTGCTTTGTGTATGTAATGTATATACATGAATGCATTGACATAGTGTCTGTGTAAATGTAAAGTGTGTGTGTGTCTCAGTGTATATGGTTGACTGTGTGAGGTGTTTGTATGTATACTGTATGTATTGTGCTTTGGTGTGTGAGAAGGAGAGAAGGTCCAGTGTTGTGGTGGCAGCAACGCCAGTTCGTTGTCAGAACTGTGCTGTAGTTCAGCGCCATCTGTCAGCTGGGCAAGACCACGCTGGCTGTGCAGGGCACTACTTGTCCCCCAGGATGGCGTACTGGTTACCAAGCTCCAACTGCTGCAGGGAAGCCCCACTGCCGCCCTCCTCTCGGCCACGGTTTTTGTGTTTCACAACCTCAAAGGTCTTCTCCATCTCCCTGTCCCTGAAACCCAAGCATTGGACATATTAAAAAAATAAAAAGACGTTTCTACACTGTATGTGTGCCCACCTTTGCACGTGTCTAAAGGCGTCCGCATACATAGGTTTAGTTCGCTTCTAGCAGAACTCGGCTAGGCGAAGCGACGTCTGATTGCATACCCCTTAAAGACCTCCGCTTGAAAAACAAGAACAAATATTACTGTTGTTTGTCCCTCGTGCCACCGCAGCAACAGCCAGAAAAACTTCCTAAAAATTGTCTGAATTAAATCAAGATAATTCATGAAATCTGGCATGAATTGATGTTATTGTCGAGGAAGTCTGTCGCGTAGTCAAAAAAGTCACACAAAAATGTGCATGAAAACTAGTAATCTCTCGCTGAAAGACTACACACACTTCATGTTCCCACTCATATTAGGAGTAGTACTGATGACCAATCACTGATGAAGGGCGTAGACTTCGGCTTTCGAAATTCGACTTGCCTCAAGATTTTTTTTTGGAGTGCACTAGAGATGACCCCAATTAGTCGACTGGTCGATTGTTTGGTCGTTAGGCTGTTGGTCGACCGAGATCGTTTTAGGCGAGCAGTAACATACAGTGCATTCAGAAAGTATTCAGACCCCTTGACTTTTTCCACATTTTGTTACGTTACAGCCTTATTCTAAAATTGATTAAATTATTTTTTCCCCCCCCCCTCAGTCTACACATAATACCCCAAAATGACAAAGCAAAAACAGGCTTAGAAGTTTTTGCAAAATAAAAACATAAATCACATTTACATAAGTATTCAGACCCTTTACTCAGTACTTTGTTGAAGCACCTTTGACAGGGATTATAGCCTCGAGTCTTCTTGGGTATGATGCTACAGGATTGGCACAGCTGTATTTGGGGAGTTTCTCAAATTCTTCTCTGCAGATCATCTCAAGCTCTGTCAAGTTGGATGGGTAGAGTCTCTGCACAGCTATTTTCAGGTCTCTCCAGAGATGTTTGATCGGGTTCAAGTCCGGGCTCTGGACATTCAGAGACTTGTCCCGAAGCCACTCCTGCATTGTCTTGGCTGTGTGCTTAGGGTCGTTGTCCTGTTGGAAGGTGAACCTTCACCCCAGTCTGAGGTCCTGAGTGCTCTGGAGCAGGTTTTCATCAAGGATCTCTCTGTATTTTGCTCCGTTCAGCTTTCCCTCCATCCTGACTAGTCTCCAAGTCCCTGCCACTGAAAAACAGACGTGACGCTTGGCATTCAGGCCAAAGTTCAATCTTGGTTTCATCAGACCATTGAATCTGGTTTCTCATGGTCTGAGAGTCTTTAGGTGCCTTTTGGCAAACTTCAAGTGGGCTGTCATATCCCCTTTTACTGAGGAGTGGCTTCCGTCTGGCCACTATCATAAAGGCCTGATTATTGGAGTGCTGCAGAGATGGTTGTCCTTCTAGAAAGTTCTCCCATCTCCACCGATGAACTCTGGAGCTCTGTCAGAGAGACCATTGGGTTTTTGGTCACCTCCCTGACCAAGGCCCTTGTTCCCCGATTGCTCAGTTTGGCCAGCTCTAGGAAGAGTCTTGGTGGTTCCAAACGTCCTCCATTTAAGAATGATGGAGGACAATGTGTTCTTGGAGACCTTCAATGCTCCAGAAATTTATTGGAACCCTTCCCCAGATCTGTGCCTCGACACAATCCTGTCTCAGAGCTCTACGGACAATTCCTTCGACCTCATGGCTTTTGCTATGACATGCATTGATGACTCCAATCAAGTTGTAGAAACATCTCAAGGATGATCAATGGAAACAGGATGCATTTTAGCTCAATTTCGAGTCTCATAGCAAAGGGTCTGAATACTTATGTAAATAAGGTATCCGTTTTTTTTATTTTTAATACATTTGCAAAAAAACTTGTTTTCACTTTGTCATTATGGGGTACTGTGTGTAGACTGTTGAGGAAAAACATGAATTTAATCAATTTTAGAATAAGGATGTAACGTAACAAAATGTGGAAATAGTCAAGGGGTCTGAATACTTTCCGAATGCACTGTACACACACACATATATTTGCGCCCATCTCATTGAACTAATCCATTGCGGAGGCCTAGACTAAACGCTAATTTATGCTTGATCTGAAATTGTGGTCAGAGGCTCCATATGGAGGGTGTGAAGCAATTGCGGCGCCTCCAGAGGCATACAGAGGCCAAATCGAGCTCCGTACTGCATTGCCATGCACCTCCCAAAGGGCTCTGTACAGCTCTGCACTGACATGATTGGTTGACGACAGCTCTGCACTACTCCGCGAAGCACAAGAAATATGACTACCCTGACTTCTGCCGAGGCCGTATCACCGCAAATGCTGCATGGCCAATGCAGACGTCGGACTGACCATGCACCCAGACGCACAGTGTACTTTCTCCCGCAAATTTGTGCACATTCGTTTCATAACTCAATTGTGTGAATTCTTAGTGTATATCAATTTCCCATTACATATAACACCAGTAGTACATTTACCTTTAGGTCCTAATCTACAACGTTTGTTACGGTAATTTCTGTTAATGCATTCGATATTATTATTCCAGTCTTCCTGTTATATTTGTCGGCGTGGACACATTGTTTGCAGAGAGCACAAACTATGCTACGCTTGTGAGAAACAAGTTTTGGTTTATTTCATTCCATTTACGAGTTGTCAATTTAGTAATTGGCCTATAGGCTACCTGGCCTAGAAGTTGGCCTATAGGCTACCTGGCCTGCGCGCAAATAAAGGCATATAAATGTGCTCATTTGAGGATCTGATAGTATTTCTGATTGGCTTAACCACCACTAATGACCTGTGGAGCTTCTCAAAGTAATGTTTTCTTCACCTCAAACAGCAAGCAAACAATGTCTGTTTTTACATCCATTGAGAATTACAATAGTTCCTCAATGTATTTGGAAAATCTTTCCAGCGCTCTCGCTTTCAATAACCACTCAGCATGAAAGGGAAAAATGTCATGCTCTGATCTAGTGGAAAAGTCATAAAATAGGCCTACCTGATTACAGTGAGGGAAAAAAGTATTTGATCCCCTGCTGATTTTGTATGTTTGCCCACTGACAAAGAAATTATCAGTCTATGATTTTAATGGTAGGTTTATTTGAACAGTGAGAGACAGAATAACAACAAAAAAATCCAGAAAAACGCATGTCAAAAATGTTATAAATTGATTAGCATTTTAAATGAGGGAAATAAGTATTTGACCCCACTGCAAAACATGACTTAGTACTTGGTGGCAAAACCCTTGTTGGCAATCACAGAGGTCAGACGTTTCTTGTAGCCACCAGGTTTACACACATCTCAGGAGGGATTTTGTCCCACTCCTCTTTGCAGATCTTCTCCAAGTCATAAAGGTTTCGAGGCTGATGTTTGGCAACTCTAACCTTCAGCTCCTCCACAGATTTTCTATGGGATTAAGGTCTGGAGACTGGCTAGGCCACTCCAGGAACCTTAATGTGCTTCTTCTTGAGACACTCCTTTGTTGCCTTGGCCGTGTGTTTTGGGTCATTGTCATGCTGGAATACCCATCCACGACCCATTTTCAATGCCCTGGCTGAGGGAAGGAGGTTCTCACCCAAGATTTGACGGTACATGGCCCCGTCCATCGTCCCTTTGATGCGGTGAAGTTGTCCTGTCCCCTTAGCAGAAAAACACCCCCAAAGCATAATGTTTCCACCTCCATGTTTGACGGTGGGGATGGTGTTCTTGGGGTCATAGGCAGCATTCTTCCTCCTCCAAACACGGTGAGTTGAGTTGATGCCAAAGAGCTCGATTTTGGTCTCATCTGACCACAACACTTTCACCCAGTTCTCCTCTGAATCATTCAGATGTTCATTGGCAAACTTCAGACGGGCCTGTATATGTGCTTTCTTGAGCAGGGAGACCTTGCGGGCGCTGCAGGATTTCAGTCCTTCACGGCGTAGTGTATTACCAATTGTTTTCTTGGTAGAACTATGGTCCCAGCTGCCTTGAGATCATTGACAAGATCACCCCGTGTAGTTCTGGGATAATTCCTCACGGTTCTCATGATCATTGCAACTCCACGAGGTGAGATCTTGCATGGAGCTCCAGGCCGAGGGAGATTGACAGTTATTTTGTGTTTCTTCCATTTGCGAATTATCGCACCAACTGTTGTCACCTTCTCACCAAGCTGCTTGGCGATGGTCTTGTAGCCCATTCCAGCCTTGTGTAGGTCTACAATCTTGTCCCTGGCATCCTTGGAGAGCTCTTTGGTCTTGGCCATGGTGGAGCGCTTGGAATCTGATTGATTGATTGCTTCTGTGGACAGGTGTCTTTTATACAGGTAACAAGCTGAGATTAGGAGCACTCCCTTTAAGAGTGTGCTCCTAATCTCAGCTCGTTACCTGTATAAAAGACACCTGGGAGCCAGAAATCTTTCTGATTGAGAGGGGGTCAAATACTTATTTCCCTCATTAAAATGCAAATCAATTTATAACATTTTTTACATGCATTTTTCTGGATTTCTTTGTTGTTATTCTGTCTCTCACTGTTCAAATAAACCTACCATTAAAATTATAGACTGATCATTTCTTTGTCAGTGGGCAAACGTACAAAATCAGCAGGGGATCAAATACTTTTTTCCCTCACTGTACTTGACTTGGACTGAAATAGGTTCCGGTACTCATTTTGGTTGCTGGTCCTGTTTATACTTATTCTATAAGAGGAACAAGAGCTCAAGCAGTAGGAAATCTGAGGTGCCGGTACTCAGTTCCGGTTAGCTCCTGCCCAAGTCAAGCACTGCTTCTTATCCCTTGCACAAATAGCCTACAGAAGCATGCGATATCTGAAGTTGAGGTGCACTCACCTGCGTGTCTCCACATGCTTGGAGCCGGCCCCGAGTGACGGGAACTGTGTGTCGCTGAAGATCTCAGGGGGCCCCTGGTTGGGGCCACGCTTTGTGGTAGTCAGTCGGGCACCTGGGGGGCGGTACACCCCAGAAGGCTTGGACTCAGGCACCTCTTCCACCTCTGTAGAGACGACAGCAGAGATGAAAAACAAGGGGCAAGGCTCATCATTAGTAATTCATATTAATTGCCAAAATGTCTATTAGAGTAACCCTTTTTATAATACAATAAGAGAATGTGGAAGTGATACGTAGAGTGGAGAGAGGTATACCCACCAACAGGTGCAGCGGCTGGGGGCGGGGCGCCAGATTTGTTCCAGGGCCCAGAAATTTTGTCTCCACTAACCAGGATGATCTCTCCATCCTCACCGAACTCCTCCTCATACTCCTCTTCCTCCTTCTCATCACTGCCACAATCGCCAGAGAAAACCCATTCAACAGAAATGTGCCACTAGTACAGACGTTTAACATGTCATCAGGGTAGTGCGTACTGTTTTCTGCCCACTGAATGAATGTGACCCTGTTCCCTCCTTATGTTCAGACTTACCTTATCTGCAGAGCCTGCAGTCTGAGTCCACTGTAGTCCACCTCCTTTGCCTCAAACTCCTTCCACTCCTCATCCTCCTGCAGACAGAGCACACACAGCTTATCAGTTACACACCCCACTAACTGATGGTTTAGCAATCCAAGGCTTCATAGTTCATACATTTGCGTTGTCATCATGTCAATCTCAATTTATCATGCTTATAAGCAAAAACTAAAGCAGGAAGCACCAGTGACTCGGTTAATAAGGAAGTGGTCAGATGATGCAGATGCTAAGCTACAGGACTGTTTTGCTAGCACAGACTGGAATATGTTCCGGGATTCTTCCGATGGCATTGAGGAGTATACCACATCAGTCACTGGCTTCATCAATAAGTGCATTGATGATGTCGTCCCCACAGTGACCGTACGTACACACCCCAAACAGAAGCCATGGATTACAGGCAACATCCGCACTGAGCTAAAGGCTAGAGCTGCCGCTTTTAAGGAGCGGGACTCTAACCCGGACACCTATAAGAAATCCTGCTATGCCCTCCGACGAACCATCAAACAGGCAAAAGGTCAATACAGGACTAAGATTGAATCGTACTACACTGGCTCCGATGCTCGTCGGATGTGGCAGGGCTTGCAAACTATTACAGACTACAAAGGGAAGCACAGCCGCGAGCTGCCCAGTGACACGAGCCTACCAGACGAGCTAAATCACTTCTATGCTCGTAACGAGGAAAGCAACACTGAAGCATGCATGAGAGCATCAGCTGTTCCGGGTGACTTTGTGATCACGCGCTCCGTAGCCGATGTGAGTAAGACTTTTAAGCAGGTCAACATTCACAAGGCCGCAGGGCCAGACGGATTGCCAGGACGCGTACTCCGAGCCTGCGCTGACCAACTGGCAAGTGTCTTCACTGACATTTTCAACATGTCCCTGACTGAGTCTGTAATACCAACATGTTTCAAGCAGACCAACATAGTCCCTGTGCCCAAGAACACTAACCTGCCTAAATGACTACCGACCCGTAGCACTCACGTCTGTAGCCATGAAGTGCTTTGAAAGGCTGGTCATGGCTCACACCAACACTATTATCCCAGAAACCCTAGACCCACTCCAATTTGTATGATGCAATCTCTATTGCACTCCACACTGCCCTTTCCCACCTGGACAAAAGGAACACCTACGTGAGAATGCTATTCATTGAGTACAGCTCAGCATTCAACACCATAGTGCCCTCAAAGCTCATCACTAAGCTAAGGACCCTGGGACTAAACACCTCCCTCTGCAACTGGATCCTGGACTTCCTGACGGGCCGCCCCCAGTTGGTAAGGGTAAGTAACACCACATCTACCACGCTGCTCCTCAACATGGGGGCCCTTCAGGGGTGCGTGCTCAGTCCCCTCCTGCCGACGACATAACAGTGGTAGGCCTGATCACCGACAACGATGAGACAGCCTATACGGAGGTGATCAGAGACCTGGCCGTGTGGTGCCAGAATAACAACCTCTCCCTCAACGTGATCAAGACAAAGGAGATGATTGTGGAGTACAGGGAAGAAAAGAGGACTGAGCACACCCCCATTCTCATCTACGGGGCTGTAGTGGAACAGGTTGAGAGCTTCAAGTTCCTTGGTGTCCACATCACCAACAAACTATCATGGTCCAAACACACCAAGACAGTCGTGAAGAGGGCATGACAATGCCTATTCCCCCTCAAGAGACTGAAAAGATTTGGCATGGGTCCTCAGATCCTCAAGAAGTTATACAGCTGCACCATCGAGAGCATCCTGACTGGTTGCATCACTGCCTGGTATGGCAACTGCTCTGCCTCCGACCGCAAGGCACTATAGAGGGTAGTGCGTATGGCCCAGTACATCACTGGGGCCAAGCTTCCTGCCATCCAGGACCTCTACACCAGGCGATGTCAGAGGAAGGACCAAAAAATTGTCAAAGAATCCAGCCACCCTAGTCATAGACTGTTCTCTCGCCAAATCTAGGTCCAAAGGGCTTCTTAACAACGTCTACCCCCAAGCCATAAGACTCCTGAAGAGTTAATCATGGCTACCCGGACTACTTGCATTGTCTCCCTACGACAGAGCCTGGATTCGAACCAGGATCTCTAGTGGCCACTTAGACCACTGCGCCACTCACTTTAACTCTACCCACATGTACATATTACCTCGACTAACCTGTGCCCCTGCACATTGACTCTGTACCACCTGTATATAGCCTTCCTACTGTTATTTTATTTTAATGCTGCTCTTTAGTTCTTTTTTAATTTTTACTAATCTATTTTTGACGTAACATTTATTTTTCTTAAAACTGCATTGTTGGTTAAGGGCTTGTAAGTAAGCATTTCACTGTAAGGTCTACACCTGTTGTATTCGGCGCATGTGGCAAATAACATTTGATTTTATTTGAAACTTTGACCATGAAAAGGAACGTATGTCACAAGGTGCCAAATAACTACAAACTAGGATCTGGATACAGGCCACGCCCTGACTTTGGGCGGTGATCACAACATATTATCACAACGCCTCTGGAATGAGTGTCAACCTCAGCACAGAACCACACCAGGGTGACACCCAGAATATCAATTAGCTTAGGTATCCCTGAGAGGGGACTGGTTGACAGTTACCCTTGGCAGCTGATAGTGCCGATCTATCGCCCATGCACTATATCAGCTGCCTAGGCTTGTTGAGCGGTTATCAATCATAATCATAATAAAATGTGTATTTGGTAACTAGCTAACGTTACCTGCTGCAAATGCTACTTAGTAACATTATCACCAGTAAATTATACTCTCAGTGCATTTTTCTGCACAAGAAAGGTTATGAGTCTAACAGCTGGAGTCCCCATTTCCCAGGCTAACCATCTGTAAATTCTGAGAATAATATTAGAGGCCTAAGCATCTAGAAAATCGTGCCAACTAGCTAGCAACATTACTAATCTTCCAAATGTACAGCTTTGTCAAAATTAATTAGCTAGTTGGCAAGCTAGTTATATTCACATTCGTCACGAGGCATATGTTGCTGGCTATATTCACCAACAATATTACAATTCGTCACGATGCATGTTGCTGACTAGCTAGCTAGCTAACGTTACGCCCTAGCCTAGACTTAATCCAATGTGTGACAGTTTTCACCTTTTGAAAACATAATAGCCACTAGTCAGTTAGCTAGCTGATTAACGTTGACCAATCGAGAAAGTTGACACTTTCGCGGCCTAAAGTTATCTGGAATAAGTATTGAGCTTGCTGGCTAGCTAGCGAACTCAATTATTGGATTGCTGTTTGAGGAACTAGTTAGCTAACCTTAAATATTTATCCCCAGAAGTCGTGTGTTAAGCCAGTATAATATAATAACTAGCCAGCCATGGTTTATTACTAAACAGCCACGAGTCGTCACTGTTAGCAGGCAAACTAGCTAGCTAGCAACATATTGAGTTGGCTAGCTAGCTAGTAGCTAGCTAGCTACATCGGCCATGATCCAACTGCTAACTACTAGCTAGCGCGGCGCTAGCTAACGTTACCTTCTCCGGCTGCGCATCTTGATTTTCATTTTTCGTGCCGAACTTCTCCTTTTCCTTCTTGTTCTTTTTCAATACAATTGGTGTGGGCCCAGATGGGGCTTCTTTTCCCTTGCCTCCCTTTTCTTTCTTCTTTTTTTTATCCCTCTTGGCAAAGAAATCATCCAGGCTCTTCTCCGGGGCAGCGCCACCAGTCTCTACATCGGCCATTTTCTTTCAGAAATGAATGCTAAGCAATGACAAATGTCAATTTCAAAACGTCTCTTTAAATCAATTGATGGGGAGGGCTTAAATTCTTATTCGACCAGAGCAATCTGTTGTGAAAAACAAAATGTAGCTACTGTCTGACCGCCTGTCTTTCAATGAGCCACATTATTGTGGGGCTGTGCGGCTCGCTCACTGGTATTTGACAGGCGAACCGGATGTACAGTCAATACTTTCCACGATGGCCCGGATGAGCATGAAGAGAAACATAATGGACATGCTGAAGACCCAATTAAATTGCATGTCATTTTTGATCACCCCCTATCGCATTAGGCCGGTAATAATCTGGTACCAGACCATGAGGTCTACTGTAGTGGTCTTCGCGGATCAATGTATTGTGTTGATCATTGACTAGTTGATCATGGAACAAGAGAGAAGCACTTAAAAAATATATTTAATGTATTCATGAGTGTACTTGTTTTGTCAAAGCCATCATTCCAAGTATTGCCTGTTCACCCCGCTATCATCCAGAAGGCGAGGTCAGTAAAAGTGCATCAAAGATGGGACCGAGAGAATGAAAAACAGCTTCTATTTCAAGCCATCAGACTGTTAAATAGCCATCACTAGCGCATTAGAGGCTGCTGCTGCCTATTGAAATCACTGGCCACTTTAAGAAATGGAACACTAGTCACTTTAATAATGTTTACATATCTTGCACTACTCATCTCATATGTATATACTGTATTCTATTCTATAATATTCTACTGTATCTTAGTCCATGCCGCTCTGTCATTGCTTGTCCATACAGTTGAAGTCGGAAGTTTACATACACTTAGGTTGGAGTCATTAAAACTAGTTTTTCTAATTTCTTGTTAACAAACTATAGTTTTGACAAGTCGGTTAGGACATCTACCTTGTGCATGACACAAGTAATTTTTCCAACAATTGTTTACAGACAGATTATTTCACTTATAATTCACTGTTTCACAATTCCAGTGGGTCAGAAGTTTACATACACTAAGTTGACTGTGCCTTTAAACAGCTTGGAAAATTCCAGAAAATGATGTCATGGCTTTAGAAGATTCTGATAGGCTAATTTACATCATTTGAGTCAATTGGAAGTGTACCTGTGGATGTATTTCAAGGCCTACGTTCAAACTCAGGGCCTCTTTACTTGACATCATGGGAAAATCAAAAGAAATCAGCCAAGACCTCAGAAAAAATGGTAGACCACAAGTCTGGTTCATCCTTGGGAGCAATTTCCAAACGCCTGAAGGTACCACGTTCATCTGTACAAACAATAGTACGCAAGTATAAACACCATGGGACCACGCAGCCGTCATACAGCTCAGGAAGGAGACGCGTTCTGTCTCCTAGAGATGAACATACTTTGGTGCGAAAAGTGCAAATCAATCCCAGAACAACAGCAAAGGACCTTGTGAAGATTCTGGAGGAAGCAGGTACAAAAGTATCTATATCCACAGTAAAACAAGTCCTATACCGACATAACCTGAAAGGCCGCTCAGCAACGAAGAAGCCACTGCTCCAAAACCGCCATATAAAAGCCAGACGACGGTTTGCAACTGCACATGGGGACAAAGATCGTACTTTTTGGAGAAATGTCCTCTGGTCTGATGAATCAAAAATAGAACTGTTTGGCTATAATGACCATCGTTATGTTTGGAGGAAAAAGGGGAAGGATTGCAAGCCGAAGAACACCATCTCAAACGTGAAGCACGGGGGTGGCAGCATCATGCTGTCAGGGTGCTTTGCTGCAGGAGGGACTGGTGCACTTCACAAAATAGATGGCATCATGAGGAAGGAAAATTATGTGGATATATTGAAGCAACATCTCAAGACATCAATCAGGAAGTTAAAGCTTGGTCGCAAATGGGTCTTCCTAATGGACAATGACCCCAAGCATACTTCCAAAGTTGTGGCAAAATGGCTTAAGGACAACAAAGTCAAGGTATTGGAGTGGCCATCACAAAGCCCTGACCTCAATCCTATAGAACATTTGTGGGCAGAACTGAAAAAGCGTGTGCGAGCAAGGAGGCCTACAAACCTGACTCAGTTACACCAGCTCTGTCAGGAGGAATGGGCCAAAATTCACCCAACTTATTGTGGGAAGCTTGTGGAAGGCTACCCGAAACGTTTGACCCAAGTTAAACAATTTAAATGCAATGCTACCAAATACCAATTGAGTGTATGTAAACTTCTGACCCACTGGGAATGTGATGAAAGAAATAAAAGCTGAAATAAATAATTCTCTCTACTATTATTCTGACATTTCACATTCTTAAAATAAAGTGGTGATCCTAACTGACCTAAAACAGAATTTTTACTAGGATTAAATGTCAGGAATTGTGAAAAACGGAGTTTAAATGTATTTGGCTAAGGTGTATGTAAACCTCCGACTTCAACTGTATATGTATATATTCATAAATTCCATTCCTTACTAGATGTGTGTGTATTGGGTATATGTTGTGAAATAGTTAGATATTACTTGTTAGATATTACTGCACTGTTGGAGCTAGAAGCACAAGCATTTCGCTACATCCGCAATAACATCTGCTAAACACATGTATGTGACAAATAAAATGTGATTTGATTTACAAGCAATGTGGTTGTCTACACTCTGGATGTGACCTTAGATGAAAACATAGGTATTTCTGCTCCCCATTCAATGTTAGTTCACACTTAAAAATATGTATATTGTGTGTTACTGGTTTCCACTAAAGGAACACATGCGGGATGCCACCGTGTGGGCTTAGCATGGAACTGGGCTGCCCATAGAGCAGTTTATTAGGCCTACTATTGGGCTGGGGCACACCAACATATTTTATGTGTTGAGGGCCTACATCACATATGTCAGAGTCAAGGCCCGCGGGCCACATCCGGCCCGCGAGAAGGTTTTTTACGGCCCCTGGGATGATCTTGATTTATTATTAGAACCGGCCCGCAGACCGCAGCAAGCCGGCAGCCCGCAGATCTTTTACACGCACCAATACTACATTTCCCACAATGCAACGGTGACGCACCGAGCAGTAGGCTGCTTCATTTCAATATTTATTGGCACAGCAGTCGTCAGCATCACAGTAAAATTAACTTTCAGATACCCATCAAAAATGGCAAAACGGAAGGTGGACACTGAGAACCGGGGGTTTCAAACAAGGTGGGAGTCGGAGTATATGTTCACGGAGGTAGCTGGAAAACCTGTGTGTCTTCTGTGTGGAGAAAGTGTGGCGGTACTGAAAGAGTACTCGTGGGTTTGACAACCGACGGAGCACCTGCGATGTGTGAACACAGGAGCGGACTGGTGGCGAAGATACGGGAAAAGATGCAAGAGGAAAACGCGACAGGTGAGCTGACAGCTTATCATTGTATCATACACCAGGAAGCGTTGTGCGGTAAAGCCTTGAAAATGGAGCATGTAATGAGCATCATCACGCGCACAGTTAACTTTATCAGAGCCAAAGGTTTGAATCACCGCCAGTTCAAGGCATTTCTGACGGAGTTAGAAACGGAGCATGGTGATTTGCCTTATCACACAGAGGTGCGATGGCTAAGCCAGGGAAAGGTGCTTCAAAGATGTTTCGAGCTTCGTGAGGAGATTTGTCTGTTCTTGGACAGCAAAGGGAAAGACACAACACAACTCCGAGACGAAATGTTTCTGTGTGAAATGGCTTTTCTGTGTGACATTACGAGTCATCTGAATGCAATGAACTTGCAGCTGCAGGGTCGGGATCATGTCATCTCTGATATGTACAGTACAGTGAAGGCATTTAAAACCAAACTGACTCTGTGGGAGACGCAGATGCGGAAAGAAAATTTGAGCCACTTTCCCAGCTGCCAGACCATGAAAGAGAAGCTCTCTACCAGTGCGTTCCCGAGCGCACAGTTGGCTGATAAAATAGGTATGCTTGCCGCTGACTTTCGACGCCGATTTGCTGACTTTGAAGCACAAAAAAGCAGGTTGGAACTGCTCGGTAACCCATTTGCTGTTGACGTGGAAAGCTCACCACCAAACCTCCAAATGGAGTTGATTGACCTCCAATGCAATGATGCACTGAGGGCAAAATATGCGGCAGTGGGTGCTGCGGAGTTCGCCCGTTTCCTCCCCGACACAATGCCCCAGCTGCGCATCCAGGCTGCTCAAACGTTGTCTATGTTTGGCAGCACATACCTGTGTGAACAACTGTTTTCTTTGATGAACCTGAACAAAACATCACACAGAAGTCGACTTACTGCTGAACACCTCCACTCAATTCTGAGGATTTCCTCAGCTCAGAGCCTTACCCCGAACATTGATGAACTTGTGGAAAAGATGGGACACCACCAAGTATCACCCTCAACCTCAAACAAGTGAACATTACTGTGCAATCACATATTTAGAGTTTTTACTCAGTTCAAGTTTAAAAGTTAAAGTTTAATATTTGTTTTCACTGCATGTTACTTCTCCTTAAACAAAGTGTTGTTTTTGATTAATAGATTTTTGCACTTTATTTTATTGTATTTCAATCCAATTATATTTTAAAAATATTTCAGTTGAGTGGATGATAGAAAATTGCTATTATTGTTTTTTTCTTTGAAGTAAATTTAGCCCACTTTTGCTAAAATAGAAAATATAGGCTACTGATGGTGCCTTGAATACCGGTTTCTTTCATTTAATGTTCATGTTATGGGGATTTTTATATAAAGGAAATTTGTCTTTTGTGTCTGTTGAAAATTAAAGATTACTGACAGAGCCATAAGAAAATATTGCTTTATTTATCTGATCATATTGGAATATATTTGTTAGGTTTTCAGTAGGTTCAATTAGGTTCACTAGACTATATGCGTCATTTAAAAATTTTTCAATGAACATTCGAACAGTCCGGCCCTCGGCTTGTAGCTAAATTTTTTATTTGGCCCTCCGTCCATTTGACTTTGACACCCCTGGCCTACATGGTCACCTCACACAAAGATACTGTACATGTCTCTCCACCCTAACTGTCACGGTTTCGGCCGAGGCTGCTCCTCCTCCTTGTTCGGGCAGGCTTCGGCAGTCGTTGTCCCCGGAGTACTAGCTGCCACCGTTGTATGTTTCGATGTTTGTTTGGTTCTGTCTG